ATGTACATTTAAAAGAAAATGTGTTATGTCAATTTCGACAGGCAGTAATCGAAAAGTCCACAGTATTTGGCTCGCAGTAATAGATACATCATTTTAATGAAATTTGTGCTTTCAGAGATTCAATATTTTGAGAAAAGTAAATATTCAAGTTAAAGAATAATAGGTATAGCTCAAGTTGTCAATTTATTGGCGTAAAATGTCTTATTTTCTCTGTCAAAGTTCGCCTTCATTGAGAAACCGCAGTAATGCCTACACTTACCCTACTGTCTATAAATGTTTTCAATATTTTCAAACGCCTGATGACAAAGAACGTTTTCGTCACACTTTGTTTTTTTACTACAGCAAAGGTAAAAATTCGTGGTGTACACGAAGATGGTGCAATCGACGAATCAACGTGCACGAAATGGTTCAAAAAATTTCCAGATGAATTTAGACTTGAAAGACGCATCTCGTTCTCGATGCCCTGTGACGACAGATCGTGCACGAATTAAGACCTTCGTTAACAACGATCGTCGCATAACAATACGTGATATTGCAGAAATGATTAAAATATCCATCGTGACGGCTACAAAGCAAATTCGCGATTTTGAACTGACAAAAACGGGACGAATTTATGTTACAACCTAATATATAATATCGTACAATCACGCGACCTATCCTTGATTATACGTCGACAGTATGGTTTCCTTTTATTGTTAAAAATGCCTACAAAATTGAGAGCGTTCAGCATAAACTTTCTCGCTTTGCAGCCTTTAAAATGGGTCAACCGTTTTCGCGAATTGACCACAACTACGGTCCTTCAATGTCCTCCTAAATATAAATTCCCTGGAGTCCAGAAGAATCATTGGAGACCCATGCTTTTCTTACAAAGTTGTACATGGCTTGGCCAATAATCCGAGTGTCACCTCGCTTGTCAACTTCGATGCTCCTTCTCGATTTGCTGGGTCAACACTTCCCTTTAGAACCTCATCCTACTCGTCGAGATATACCGCTATACTGACCCGTTTTACAGGACACTTCAAATTGTTAACGATAATAGCGACAAAATAGACATATTTGCCGTCGATATCACAAAATTCAAAACGTGTTTACGTAAACTGTTCGCCTAAAGCGCTAATTCGAAGATTCTGTATTATAATTGGCTTTTGGTTCTGTATTGTAAAAATGGGCCTTTTATACATATATAATTTATTTATTTACACATAAATAAATAAAATATCGACTTGTGCGAAGAAAGAAGCGATCGTGCAGCATTGTCCCCGAGTTTATGGGGCGCGAGCAGCTAACCACCGTTGCGTTCTCGCAAGACGGAGAAACGGGGGTGTTTCGCGGCCGGCGACCCAATAAGACCGAGGGATTTTCAGGGACACCGGGTTAGGTTTGCGAACTGTCGAGAAACGAAAAAGCAACGGGAGGAGAGAAAGGGAGGAAGAAAGGGGGAGAGAAGGCCCCCAACGGGGGGTGTGGTAGAGGGGAATATATATATATATATATATATATATACGGTCGAGAAAGGGTCTGTGCGTGTTCCGGAGACGGTCGAAGACACGAGACACAGACCGGCCGCTCGTTACATAAGTAAGGTAAAGGATCTCTTCTTCTGCTCTCCTTGAGCCGATCCACATCCGCGATTATGCCACTTTCCATCGACCTCGCTTCACCTCGTCCGGCGTGCGTGTGCTCGCGGGACTTGTATGCGAGCGTCCGCGAGCGTCGCGGCTGCGCGCGTTGCTCGAGCATGACGGAAGTCTCTCCCCGATAATTTTCTTTTCGCTCCGATCGAACCCCCATCCCCCGTGTGCCTCTCGCAACGGGATCTCCCGCCGCGATTTCTGTAACCGCGGGGGGGGGGGGGGGCGTTCTACGGTCTGCGAATTAAAAAGCTACGATTATTATTAATTCCGCCGGAAGTCCCTCGACCCATCGCGAAATCCCCCGGCGAACGAGAAGGGAAATTGTATCGTCCGAATCCCGCGAACCCCGGGAAAGGAGATTAGATGGAGTTTGTATTCCAGCCAAGACTCTCGGCAAGGTAAAAGGAACCGTGCCACTTTTTTCTGCCACTGGAAATCCGCTGCAACTGAAAGCAGAAAATTATGTTGCCCCTGTCCAGCCTTTAACCCTTGCTCGCCCGTGGCCTGTGCTCGGCACGTTATCCGAAAGAATATTTGATTCTCGGATTCTCATCTCGTTTCGGGATGTTTCAAGATCGCCGTTTCAATTTCACATCGGGGAGTGCGTAGCTTCTATTTCTGAAATGTTCATTGACGCGAAGCGTCCGCTCGCGGATACAGATACAGTGATTTCTCCCAAAAATGTTCGAAGGTCGGAATTGAAATCGGCAGATCTAAGAATACTAAGTCGCGACTCTTCGGGCCTCGCGGCACGGTTTTATAGAAACTCGGGGCTAATGCTCGGCCCGTAATGCTAAAATAAAAACGATGACTTAACTTTTTCATTTCTAATTTTTCGCCACGATTCGAAGGTAATTCGGAGGCCGCATGCCACGATTCCAAGGCAATTCGGAGGCAATTCAGAGACCACATGCTACGATTCGAAGGCAATTCAGAGGCCACGTGACACGATACCAAGGCAATTCGAAGGCCACGTGACACGATTCCAAGGCAATTCGGAGGCCACATGCTATGATTCGAAGATCACGTATCTAGTACCTACCACGTACCTTGTAGCTCCGCGATTTTTCTTACTTGACTCGCACCCAAACAGATCATTTTGTGTTGTCTTCCGGGAATTCGCGTTGTGTGTCGTATCACACGCTTGACTAACTCCGTCGAGCCTTAGCGTCGACGTAGCAATAAATCACATAGGCTTAGAACTAGCACAAGGGAAATTCACAACAACCCGAAATTTGGTATTTCTGGGAGAAATTACCGTACCTCCTGGAACGTCGCGTTTCACAGAGAAAGGGGTTACGGGCTTCTTGCTGCGGAGAAAGGGCAGGACGAATCTTTCGCGTATCACGAACCTTCTCGCCTACGGTAAGCGTATCTTGAAACCTGGAAGATTCGTTTCGAGGGAAAGACCACCGTCGAGGGCCACGCGACGGGCAAGTCGAACAATCGCGTTCGACCAATCTTCCGGCCCTCTTCGTCGAGCATTGACCCAAAGCTTTCTCGGTTCTGGGCAGCATAAACTGTTCGATTCGAGGGAAAAATCACAGGGAATGCGATTCGATGGCCGACGATAATTGGATCGTTTTCGACGCGTCGCGATCTAGAACCCCGAAGAGCGAACCAATTTGCCAGCAGGGTTTTCACGGAATAGTCACTCCCTTGAGCCGCGTCCGCTTATTTTTCCCTTGGTTCCTCTCTCTCTCTCTCTCTCTCTCTCTCTCTCTCTCTCTCTCTCTCTCTCTCTTCGCCTGTTCCGGTATAAAATTAATTGGCGTAGCGATGGCTGGCGCTCGGTCGCGGGCGCGCTTGCACGCCGCTAGTCGATTTACACGGGTTTTAATTAAGCGACTGCGTTCGCCTGGTGCACCGAACGAAAACATAGCCAGCGGAATTTTTCTGGAAGTAACTGTTACGTGTTCGTGTCGGCTTGTCCCCCTATCCTCTCCCCAAGAACGACCTGTACGATTCTTCCTGGCCGTAAATTCTCCGTTTTGATATTGCCGGCGATCATATTCGACCATAACAGCCTTGTTAACTCGCCGTGTACGCGTTTCGATAATTACTCCGCTTATCGGTTCCATTCTTTCTTCCTCCGAACGCGGAGGTGTACATGCGAATTCGAATGGTTTGTAAAGATCGGATGGCCGCGGGGAAACTTCGTAGTTATCGGCTATGAGTCTCCAGTATCCGTTCGAGACTGTTGACTTCGCACCGTGGAAGATCTTTGATAATAAAATTTCAACTTCAACCGAGTACCGATAACTAAGGCAAAAGTTTGTTTCTATTAAATGCCTGTAAACTATTATATTAATTAATTATATTTTATGTTGTTATCGATTGCTTTTTTTACTGGATAACGATGCAGTAGATTCTTCTCGATAGTTTTACGCCCTTGGTTTATGTTTTTGGTTGCCTAATTTTGTTATAATTGATGTTTTTAAACATCCCTGCATCGTGCACACGTGGGCGATTACGGCGTTCCCTGTGGAGAAAAAACGAAGCTCCGTTCGGGGTCCGTAAATCGTCAATTGGAGTAGTGGCAAAACGCTCAAACTGTTAGCCAATATCGACTGACGGTAGTTTGGTTAACAGTTTAAACGTTTTGTTACTGGTGATGCTATACTAATTATAATAATAATAATATACTAATAATAATAATAATTGTTACTAATTGATGCTATACGGACCACGAATAAAGCTTCAATTTTTCTTCAAAAAAGATGCCACCATCGCCCATATATGCACAACGCAGGATCGCCTAAAAACACAAATTATGACAAAATTAGGACATCAAGAAACAAACCAAGCGCACGGAATTGCTCAGGAGAATCTACTGCATCGATATCATATAAAAGAAAAACAAATGACAACATTGCGAAACAATTTATAACGCTTTTTATATTTAATTAACCATTATACTAATTAATTATATTTTGTGCCGTAGATGTTTGGTTTTCTTGTACGATATACATGCAGCAGATTCTTCTGAATATTTCTGTATTCTTGGTTTACTTTTTGGTTGCCTAATTTTGTCATAATTAGTGTTTATAAGCATCGTGCACACGTGGGCAATTGTGGCGCCCCTTAGGGAGAAAAAATGAAGCTCCGTTCGGGGTTTGTATAGCACCAATTGAAGTAGTGGCAAAACGTTCAAATTGTTAGCAAAAATCGACTGTCAGTAATTTAGCTAATAGTTTGAGCGTTTTGCCACTACTCAAATTGGCGCTGTACGATCCCTAAAATTAAGCTTTACTTTTTCTCCACAAGAGGCATCACTGTCGCCAAGTGTAAAGCTAACTTGCGAGTTCTTATTGCGGGAGTATTGTAAACGATCTTTACAAAACTATTATAAATCAGCCCAAAAGATTTTAACGATTGGACGTGTACAAAACTGTGTACGAGTGAAATAGGCAGCCATAAGTATTTTTAATTGAGGTTGTGTTCAAAATGGGTGGAGATAAAAATCCTGAAAATGTTGTAAGTTCGATAACATTGATTTAAAGAACACTGTAAATTAATACGCACTGAAATAATTAATGAAACAGTATTAAATTTGATACTATTTAATATGTTTTCTCCAAAACCTGGAATTATATCATTTCGCGTATGGTATCGTTAGATAGTTGCATACAATTTAATTCTTCAATGGAGTTGTAACACGTTTAGTAACACGTACATTCTATATAATTTATAATCTTTTTTATATATTATATTTGTCTCTAATCTTTCGTAAATTTATGTAAATACCGGCTTGACGATTATTCTTTATATTGTTCATAATTTTTCAATTGTGTTAATTCTTTAATGTACTTCTCATATTATAAATTAACAAGACTCAACATTGCAGGTGGTACAAATCAATAAATGGGATGGTGCTGCTGTCAAGAATGCATTAGATGATGCAGTTAAATATATACTTATTAAAAAATATAATTATTTGGAAAATTTTGCACTATTTGATGGACGACTAGTTCTTTGTGCAATTACTGTGACATTGGCGCTTATAGCTGTACTCTGCGATTATCTGTATCCATTTCCAGCATCTAAATCAGCTTTAGCTATTTGCGTTGCATTATATTTCTTTTCGACGGCTCTCTTATCATTGTATACATCATATAAAGAGAAAGGAATATTTGTTGTTGCTATCCAAAGGTAAATAAAAATGGATTTAATGCTTAATGCGATGTTACTATTTTTGGTAAAAGTTATGTTAATTGATACTTTTCTTCTTCCAGAGATCCAGCAAGTTTTAACCCTGATCTTATTTGGGAGGCTAGTTCATACTTAAAAAAATATGATGACAAGTACAATTTGATATTGTCTGTTAAAAATGCGTCCACCGGAAGCGTGAACGAAGCTAGTATTACAAAATCTGTAGCGAACTTTATCGACGTGAATGGCGTTGTTATACCAGAATTAATAGAGAGTACTGTAGCGAGTATGCACGACAGTTTGACAAGTCAACGAAAAGAAAAGTAGCAGGAGAAACCAATGATTTTCAGTAATTAAATTTTTCATTCTCCCTATAATTTTTCACATTTTTATGTACTTCTCATTGATGTAAATACAACGTGAGAATAAAGTCCATCAGTTAAAAATGACGTATGTATTGTTACACGTGTTTAAATACAATAGAAAAAACAAATATAAACTTTTACATAGCCGTTAATAAAATAAAAATTTTCTTGATCCGCTTACACCACTAGTAAATTATTTACATAGCTACGTCTTGATTTATCCAACGATTTCCCTTTCATAATGCATGACCGATGAAATGTCAAATTATATAGCGATTGTATGCAATTATCATGAAGAAATAAAGAGTAGCTCATCAGCAAGAATGGTCAACTTTCAAAAAAATAATTTCTGGACTGATGATCCATTATAAATAGACTGCGAACCTTTATGCATTTATGGTACACCCAATCTTTTAGTATATAGAAAACATGCATATGAACAAAAATTATTAATATTTTTTTAATTAATAATAATAATACTTCCTTATTTGTATAATACATCTTATGAAAATAGGTATTTACATAAAGATCCGCAGTGCAGTTAATAATCCATAAGCTAGATTAACCATGCGTTGTGTCATCCTCTACAAAATCGGCTGCTTCTTCTCGCGTTACGCATACAACGTGAGATACTTTATTCCTGAATTTGACGCCATAAAATTTGTTCGCATGTTGCAATAATTCAGGCCTGTAAAAATATTACAAGATTAAGCGCGAATAAATAAAATACATTGCAAACGTAGGTATAAGAGATGTTACCTAAATGTTGTCGTGATAAATTGGGCATCAGAACTAAGCTCGTGAATCATATCCGCTACAGCTTTCCTGTGTTGTGCATCCAAAGCTTGATCGATTTCATCGAACAAATAAAACGGTGCTGGATCGCATTTTTGAATCGCGAATATTAATGCCAGCGCTACTAGTGACTTTTGTCCACCAGACAATTGGTTCATTTCTCTCATTTCAGCTCTATGACCGGTGAAAGAAACTCGTATACCTAGCCAGATTTAGAAGTTTTCACGATTACTCTCCCCTACACTCTTGATATTAATAATGAACATCAAAACTTACCAACTCCAATAAACCTGTCAGAATCGGCTGATTCTGTTGTTGTGTCATCTCCTTCTTCACCATCGGCTGTTTTCATAACTAATTGTGCGTGTCCCGATGGAACAAGTTTTTTGAAAACCTCGCTGAAATATTTGCTTACCTAAAAAGTACAGTTTGGTTAATGCAGGTTGACACGCAGTAAATAAAAGAGAGTACAGAGAGTACCGTTGCACTACGTACTTGTTTAAAGGTGAATTGTATAGCTTCGCATTTACGTTGTTCCAATACCGACATCAATTCTTTAATTTTTTCATCGCCTCTATCTAATTCTTCTTTCCTTTTCACCAATTTCTCCTTCTGATCACTGAACGACATGAACTGATCCAACGCTTTTTTATTTACATGACTGAAATAGGATCAAACATATCGCCGTATTACATTTTATATGTATTTTCACTCGCAGTAAAAATTCAATTGATATTGTACCTGTATTTCTTTAAATGATTGTTTGCTTTCTCCATTTCTTTAAACAACTGCTTTGTAGACATTGCGCTGAATTGAGAGTACACTTCGTGACTAGGCAATGCTCCAAGTTCTGTGATTTTCTGCGTACATTCCACTATTTTCTGTTCTAAAATGTTCAGTTTGCTGGCCAACTTTTCCAAATTCTTAGCATCAGCTTCTATCTCTTCCTGTGCCTCTTTTTCTTTAATCTTCCACTTCTCAACTTCCGATGACTCTGCCTTTTGCTAATATGAGAAAAACGATAAATTTGTATGCAATCATCAATTGGCACAAGTCGCATTTTTACCTTTTTTATAGCATTGGTTACTCGTTCGTTCTGAGACTTAAAGTCAGAATTCACTTTTAGCAGTCTCTTCTCGATATCTGCTAACTGTGCTTTCGAGGATTCCAATTGTCGTTGCCTATCTTCCACCGATATTTCTTGCAAAGCTTGAACTAATTCGTCTTTCCTTCTTACTAAGTTATTGGTCAACAGGTTCTCCAACTTATTTTTCTCAGCTTCTAGCCTCATACGCTTCGCGAATGCTTCTTTATTGTCTTTTGTTAGACGTCTTATATCGTCATTCAATGTATCTACCTAGAATGTAATGAGCAGTCAGCGAATCAGTAGCTCTAATTCAATCACTTTTCTACTTTAACTTTCAATACCTGGCGCTGGTCAGCAACAGACAATTGTGCCATGAGTTCTTGATGCAGTTCGCTTTCCAAACCTTCTTTCGTTGCGCGCATGGCTTCCAAACTTGATGTGCACTGAGCAAGGCTTCTTTCTTTTGGCGTACGGTATCTTCCGATCGCACTCAGTTCTTCCTTCATGAGTCGTATTTCCGCTTTCATTTTATCATACACATCTCTGTAATCAGAGAAATAATCTAATATTTCGTAAACCATACCAATACCAATGTAAAACGTAGTAGTAATGATAACGTACTTTGCTTTGCTGTTTTTGGTTTCAGTTCTCTGCATTTCGCTAACATAAGAACTAATATTCTGATCTGCTTTTCTAATCTCGTCTTTAAGGGTGGTCAATTGAGATTCGAGGGACGAAATTTGCGCCATTAACTCTGATCTGGTCTTTTGTATTTCTAAACGTGACCTTAGCGTATTAAAGTATCCACCCGTTAATGATCCCTTCGACGATACTTGGTCACCCTCCAGAGTAACGCAGTCCAATCCAGACGTACGGGCCAAATTTGTCGCAGTCTCTAAGTTACGGCAGATTAATGTTTTTCCAAAAATATACCTGCGTTTACACACGAAAAATTCATATTATACTAATGTGTTACAATCAATTACATACTAATAGCATTTACATGTTTTATCTTCGTTTTTCACCTCAAAGCTTTATCGTACTTCTCATCGTACTCTAATTTTGATATCATAGGCATAGCATCGCCAGTTTTTGGATAGTCTATATCTTTTACGTGTAGACGGTTCAAAGGCATAAATGTGACCTCTCCCGGAAGGCGTTGATTATTCATCTCTTTCAAGATTTTCGTTCCGAATTTATCTGTTTCCACGATATGATGGAACAATCGATTTCCAGCTGTCACCTCCACAGCCATATAAAAATTCTTCTCGCAACTGAAGTTCTCTATTACAGGCCCGTAATAACTACTCACTTCGTGGGCCATTTCTTTACGTGTTCTGAAAATTTGCGCGATCATCAGTCAAGATTATACTTTGCGAATAAAATAATGTTAATTACCGAAACGTATCCAGCACTTTTCGCACGCTATCTCGTCCGTTTAGAATAGGCTTTCCAGCCATGGACCGCAAACTTTGATCCGCCTTAGCCAAGTCTTCTTTGAGCCCTGACAAATTAAGTTGTAACACGCTCTCTTGTCGATACCTGGAATGCAGCAAATGTTATTTATACTTCACCAAAATTTCATAAATGCAAAACATTGTACAGTGAACAAACTGTTCTTTTCGTGTGGCTTGACATTGGTCCTTTGCTTTAGTTAGTTCATAGTATTGCTTATTATGTTCATCTATAGATACTCGTTGTTGTTCCATTTCACGTGTATGCTCGTCGATCTTTTTCTCTAAAATAACTTGCTTCTCTGCATCTTTTTTTAAATCCTCACTAATCTTTCTCTGATGTTCTTCTTTATCCTTAATTTGTTTGGTAAGTTGTTTAAGTTCATTTTGTATCCATTTGTCTCTCTCATCCTAGTACCAAGGAAATATTAAACAATAGGGTTCACAATTTTTGTCTTTTAATTAATAAAGTCAAATTGAATACCCTGCTAGTGAATTGACTGCCACGCCCCTGTTTTGCATACAATTCTTTCCGCTTCTGCTCTTTCAATTGTAACTCACGGGTGCATTCCTCTTCCACTCGCTTCATTTCCTCATACTACAAATATTATGTTGACATTAATTTCATTGTAAAAATTTTAGCCATATTTATATATATATTTTAGCCAATACTTATAGTAGGGTATAACTTACTTCTGGTTTGAGTTCCTCTAATTCAGCTTCTCGTCCTGCGATATTTCCTTTCAATTTTTCTAACTCTTGTTGGGCACGCTTTCTACTGTCATTATCTCCTTTTACCTCCTCCAGCAAATCATTAATAGTTAATGTTAATTTGGTTTTTTCTTTCAGTAGCTGTTGTTGTTCAGCACTGTGAATGAAATTTTTATAAGCATCTATGATACAACCACAAATTCCAAACAACTTTATTTACATTACCTGAGTGTATCTCTTTCTTCTTTCGCAGTCTGCACTTCTTTCTTTGCTTCTTTGAGACGTTTTGTTGCAGCCCTAACCATTTCTTGTGCAGTTTTTGCTTCCGCCCCTAAACGCGCTTGTTCAGCTCCGCTATTTGCTCTGGATTTCTCAAGCTCTTCCAACTTTCTTTTATTCTCTTTCAGCTCTCGTTCATGTATAGTGTATTCTAAACAACGACGTTGTTTATCCCAGCATTGATACTCCTTGAGTTCTTCTTTCTCTTCTTCCAATGTCTTTAAACGTTCCTCTGAAATTCCATCATGTTGTTACATTTCAGAACGTACTTGCAAACATTGATCATGATTTACCTATTGTTCGTAAGAAGTCTTGAATTTTTTCCAATTTTCCTTCTGTTTCTTTTAAAATAAATTTTGATTCTTCCCTTCTGTCATCATATACTCTAGTACCAGCTACTTCTCTCAATAATTTAAGTCTCTGAGAATCAGGTGCCGTTGCCATTTGATTTATCTATGAAGAATAATCCATCATATCCTCCATTTCTTTGCATAAGTCACAAATTGATTATAAAACATACCTTTCCTTGCTTTACGATATAATACGGATTTGATCTTGAAAATCCTGCAGACTCCAACAAATTCATTACATCATTTCTAGTTACTATTCTCTTATTAAGGAAATATTGGTCCTTCTTTGAGCCAATCACTCTCCTCAAATATATTTCTTCTTTATCAATCTATAAGAAGTAATTAAGATATAAAATAAAATTACGAGACGCATAAATAATGTTAATTTAAATATTGTATACTGGCAGTCTTCCATCAGAATTGTCAAATATAATTTCCACATGCGCTGAAATAACTCTTGGTCCTGTGCCCTCGTGCAATAAAGCCTGTCTCTGTTCTGGTCTAAGATGAGAAAACTCATCACTCAAAACGAACTGAATCGCATAAAAGAAGTTACTCTTGCCAGAACCATTTCTGCCCACTTGAAATAAGACAAAACTTGCATAAATTTCATAAAGAAATTGTTTAGTATAAATTTAATAGAACGTTCACACATACCTACTACATTGTGCCTTGGATCGAAAGGTTCTACAACTGTCTGTTCACGATATGATTTAAATCCTTGGATAATCACCTAAATATAAACAAATTTATTATACAGAATGGTGACATTTGTACTTATATTATTAGGATACTGTAAAATCAATCATAAACCGTTGCGCCATACATCTTATTACTTGACCAACTTTGGCCATATTTATCAAGTAGTAACATTTTTAATGCATTTGTGTACAAATACATATCGACAAACAGTTTTCGTTATCATTAACATTTCACTCATAATTTCAACGTAAAGAAGATATTAAAAACAATTCGTCAATAACAAATTTTGTTCGCGGTAAAGTAGAACAATACATAATAACATTTGTTTCTAACGGTGAGCGTCAGTCGAAGAGGAAATAATGTAAGGCGCGCAAAAGACAACAATCATTCGAAAATGAAGTTAATCATTCATTTCCATTACCTGTTTGATGTACATAATGCAGAGAAAATTACACGAGTGTTTCTCGTGTTATCACTTTACGGTAACTCAATAGGAAAAACAAGTTCTGTTTCTCCGTCACTGAACTGAACACAGTGAACAAAGATTTTTTAAGCGTCGCGTCCTTAGATCATATCATAGAACCACAGTGTACGTATATTATACACCGTGCACAGGACCATATACTATACATATGTACTACTACACAAGGCCTGTGTATAGTACATGATAAAAAAATTGCGGAAATCCAAGAATCCAGTGGAGCAAAGATAACGAAGAAAATGTGACGTCGTATGTGGGGAAAAAGATCATTCAAAATGGCTCAAAATTACGCAGTACATAAACTGACAAAACCTATTTTATTTTTTAACCAATAAGTCTAAATGTATAATTTAAGTGTAATGTCAATATAAATAAATAATTTTTGTTACTTATTTAAGCTAAAATAAGTCTTAAGAAAATAATTGGTCAAACACTCTTTGTATAAATTTTGCAAATCAATTTTGCAAAATTATAGTTTCCAAAATATGTTATGAATACTATTTAAAATTGTACAAGGTAAAACTTAATGACCAAAATATATATTTGTAAAGTATATGTATTATCTTGAATATTTTAAAAGGAATATATGTATACATACATCAATTTATTTATTTCTTGCAAAAATTAACAAGATATTACAATCGAGTATTGAGATTGTTTTACGTATTGAAATATCGGTTGTATATTTCTTTGAAACTGTATAGGTAGTACAATACTGTACTAATATATCATACAAGCATAGCTTGTGAACATAGCATCTTGTTCACATGTGACGTCACATAGATGGTTTATCTTGATAGAGGGAAATTATCTAAAACCATATTTATAAATATATATCTTAGACCAGTGGCCTCGGAATTAACTACACATGACAGAAACAGAGCATTTTCGGGAACTGTTCTGAAATGTTTTGCAAAATGATACTACTCTATAGCACATTTTAGAGCAGTCTCCGTCATGTAAAATTAATATCGAGCCCTATCTTAGATCATATATAATCCATGGTCTGGTAGCACACGTGACAAGGAAAAGTCCCTAGATTTGGGCGGGAGACGTAATTCCATTGCCACTACACAAAAAAAAGAACACCATATCTTGATCGTTAAAATAAGGAAGGAATAATTACAATCAATTATTCTGATGAAGATTTTATTTTATGAAGGATGACTGGAAATGATTTGGTTTTAAAAATATTAATTTTATGAATTCCTTTAATGATGAATGCTCAAAGCATCACTTTGAACTTCATGACTCAACTGTGTCTGTAAATTAGACAATTTGTTCTTTAATGCTGCAATACCCATCATTACAATGTTTTCAGGTTTCAGAGCACCACTGCTTTCGACATTAAAGTAGTATTTGTTTGGTTTAGCTTCCCAATTAAATGGTGCTTCATCTAAAATGGTTTGAAATTATTAATTGAATAGACTACTCGGTCCGCACAAACTTCTTAATGCTTACATTGATCTTCTTCTAATTCGCTATATTCTGATTTCGGCCATTCGTCAGGTTTTGGGAACAGAGTGTGCCTCATAGAATTGTCTGGATCATATTCGAAGCTCACTCCTGCAGTTGGGTTCCACTTTGCATGCTCCTTTCCAAAGCCTTTTTTCGCGTATGCTCTTAATTTTAACTCTTGTCCCTTACGTAGCTTTACTATTAGTATCTCTTCAGAAAAGAAACATTAATTTATTCTATTATATGTCAAATAATTTATTATATGTCTTAAGACATCGGTATTATTTCCAAAAGCACGGACCATCTGTTTCTCCATATTCGCTAGCATCATCTTCTCTGTGTCTGGATGTAACAGGAAGAACACGAGGGTCACTGGACTTAAAATCTGCTGTAGTTACATGTCTTGTTTGATCCTCTGTACATTTCACATCGAGGGTAAATTCTACGCTACATTCTGGACAAAAATCCATACATTGACAGTCTCTTGTATATTGTATCCTATCAACAACCTAAATAATTTAATATAAATCTTTCACATTAATTGTAAGAGATTTTTAATTCGTTAATCATTTCATTACTTACGTCGTCACTAATCAATGGTATCATACCGATTCTGTGAGCCAAAAATTCATCACTTAAAACCGTCGAATTAGCTTCTAATTGAATCCAATCGATAGCCATAGTAGGCGTTTCAGCAATAAACACGCGTCTCATACTATTCGCTACACTGCAATAATTTCAAATACTTGTTACGTTAAGTTCGATTATAAGATCTTAAATTCCAGTATAACCTTTTTTGTACCTTAACTCGGTGTCTTCAACTTGAAATTTTACATTCTCCTCGGTTAAGTCCGAAATGTGAACTGACGGTTGATTAGCGTAAGGCATTTTAACAAATTCTGTATTAGTATTAAATAAATGGAAAAATGCTGTTTTATAGTTAATATTTCTAACCCAAAGCAGGTAAATGATATGTGTCAAGTAATATCTGTATGTATACAGTTGGTATTACAGTGGCACCTCTTACGGCGAAATCAAGAAGTTTTAGTTGATGTCTGTACAACGCTAATTAGTAAGTGGCGAAATGTTCAAACTGCTAACCAAATGAATTACCGACTCTGTAGAAAATACTGTGGTACGATAGCGGTGGAAAATGCATAACGCGTGGATCGACTTTACGAGAGTGCTACATATTTGTATTATAGAAAGTTGAATCGATTATAGTAATACGGAAAGGAAATGAAAAGGGGGTAGGAAGAAGAGGGAGGAAAAAATCCGGTAAAAGAATAGACAAAAGATCTTAAGGATAGTTAGCTAGGGTTAGTTACGTGACTTTACGGATACAAAAGATCGGTATCTGACCGTACAAATTTCGTTACAGAAATGGTGTTACCCAGAAATGTGTAGCTGCTTGATAAATACGAGATGGAGACACCCGGCGTTTTCTATCAGGAATTAAAAAGAAACTCAATTGAAATATAAATACATATTCTCCGAATCGAGAAATGCAGTGACATTTTCTTATAACTTTTGAATCATTGGAGGTATTACAATGAAATTTTTACTAAAAATATTTAAAAAACAATCATTATAAGGTCAGATAATTAAATATTTTTCGCATTTGTTAAGTAATAATTTTTAATTAATTCTGATTGATATTTTTGATAAAAAAAATTGTTTAAATATAATTTTACGAACTATCTTTTACTTTCTAAATGTGTATTTTATATCTATGTAAACTATAAAAGCGAGTAATCTTATTACCAAGAAGCTTTCTCGGTTCGACGGAGTTGGTAAACATGTGTTTTTAATTTTAACATTTTAAAACTGAATCTTTTTCAAACACATTGCTGATAGTTTTTTTTTTAAATGAGACCAAACATAATATAGTTTAGGCATATATTTCTCATTAAAATAAAATCAAACACGATATAATTTCGATTACATTTATTTGCTTAATATTTATTGAGAAAAATTATATTCGCGATTTAAAGTAAATAATAGCTGGTTAGCAAAATTTGAAAAACGTCATGGCATACGCTTAGGAAAGATGTACGAGGAGAAAGCTAGTGCTGATTAGAATGGAGCAGATGCTTTTGTAATTAATTTAAAAAAAATAATAGAGAAAGAAAATGTAAGTTTAGGAAATGTTTACAATATGGACGAAAGTAGACTTGTAAAACACTGGCTGAAGAAGAAGAAGAAGAAGAAGAAGAAGAAGAAGAAGAAGAAGAAGAAGAAGAAAGAAATCTGTGAGGAAGTAGAAAGAAAGAACAAAAACATAAAAATAAAAGAAGAAACGTTAGAACTTCAAGAGAAGAATCGCAAGAAATAACTTATGAAGGAAGCAGTAATGAAATTGGGGACAATGAATTACCTGTAATATTTGAGAGATTGATTTACAGTGCATTCAATGCATGGTGCAGGGAATAACAATATTTTTCTTGAGCAAGGAAATTTAAATAAGTACGTATTCATAAAATGGTAAAATTTTGCAGTCAATTTCAATATGATTTATTTAAAAAAATTAATTTCTTTTTACATTATTTGTTATTAGACAGTGGAGCAAAACCATTACCGTAGGTCACAATATTAGACAATTCCACAAGGATGATACGCGGCAAAACAATTTAATGTAGAATATAATTTTACATTCATTTAATTATACATAATATCAATGCAGCTTTTTATTGTACGTATTTTACTTATATAATTACAGCGATAATAGAATAAAATGAATTACACATTAAGCATTAGGTAAATAAATGTATGTAAAACAGGGTAAAAAGACTCTTATAGTGACTCGATATAAAACAGAGGTTTCTCTTCGACAAAGATCGCTCGTTAACGAAGGTAGGCTGGATGGGTGTTCCTTCCGAAAAAGTCCCTTTCCTTGATGAGGGTCTGAAGAGTTCGGGATAGTTTACGATGGTACCTGTGTGCGCCGCGTTGTCGGGTCCCGTCATAGGCGATCCTTAAGCACGACCCAAGCAATTCGTCCGTTTTTCAACCGTCTATAAATCTTGTTGTTCTTGAGCACCGAAATCGGTGAAGTATTGCTTGGCATTCGCATACAGCGCACTTAAAACCATTAGGATAATACAACGACCGCTGTTTCTAATGCTTTCGCGCTGTTCTAATGCGTTTCTAATGGTACTTGCTCTGGCCGTGGGTTGTCCGTTTAAATAGCCTACAATCTGCAGTCTACCCTCGACCGTGCATTATTAAAATAAAATAATGCTCCAAAGTGCGTTGATGTGCACCCCGGTTTAAATAATGCGCTTCGGTGCTGTCGAATATTTTTGAAATCGGTTGTTTTACAAGGGTCTCCTTTATCTTCGCAGTCGCGTTCTCTTCCACGTCCCTCCAAGTCCATGGGGTGTTTCTTCTCAGCAGCATCGTCGAAGAGATAACCAGGAGATTGCATACTCTTGGATAAATTTTCTAAAATATCTCAACAATCCCAGAAATCGTCGTATTTCCCTGATCGTAATTGATCTCGATATTGTTAATACGATTTCCATTTTCTTACGGCTTGGTTTTACACCGTCCGCGCTGAATATTTCCATCAAATCCGCGTCAATCAAATGTTGTAAAGATCATCGGGTGTCACAAATGCCGTCTTTTCGGTGGATTCATCGCTCGTTGGTAGATACTTGGTAATAATCAGAGACCAAATCTAGATCTATGAAATACTTATTGCCTCCAACCGATCTCGATTTGATCTCCTATTAACGGTAAACGGTAAAATCCGTAAGAATTAACGCTTTGAGCCGCCGATGATCATCGATAATCTGATAATCTGAACCTGATAATCTGTAGCCGATAATCCTTGGTCTTTTCCTTCACCATTCTCACCGTCTCGCATTCGGTTTCGCGACAGTTCCATTAATTTCTGGAGTGATCTCATCCGTGATATCGCGATCGATTTCGTGATCGATCTCGCGATTTTTTTTAGCTCTGTACGACACTCCCGGATGCAATCGTCAACGTTCTCTTCAGACACTTCGTCGGTACCCCTCATACGATTTCTCATGCGTATATACGATTTGTCCATCATGGGAATCGTCTCTCCGATGCACGCACCTGCGAATCTCGTGAATCCTCGCGCGAGCGATCTCGAGGACTTCGTCACTTTTCTGATCGACCCTTTGTATCAACACGTGCGGCTATTAAAATCTCGCACTAAAGTTCTCGACAGCGCTTACACTGGCACAATCGTGTGAAAACGTCCAAATTTGCACGATATGGGAGTTAATTAATTACACAAGGCTCCTGGTCTGTCGCACTTTTGACTTGTAAGACACTTGTAACGGCTCGATGTAAAACAGAGATTTGGCTCTTACGATGTTCACACGTCAACGAAGTAAATTGAAATGCCGTTCTCGTCCCGAAAAAGTTTCTTTTATAGACGAGGATCTGAAAAGCCCGGAATAGTCGCGACAATAGAGGTACCACACACACATACACAGTCTTGCGATTTTATGGAGGTTCGGGGCAATAACGGTAATGTCCAAACTAATGCATTTACGACCTAAGTACGTTAATTATTTTTTAAAGGGAATACAACGATGTATCGATTTATATATAAATAATATACAGTTATGTTAAAAGAATTGTAATGATTTTGTTTTTTTCTTGAATAAAAAATTCTTTTATCAACATTTAGTATTGCAATTTGTTAGAAGCTGTGTATTGACTAATTTTTATTGGAAACATTTTTTAATAAGAATTACTAGGTGTTAGGTAACATACATTCTGACGTAATACATACATAACGGACACATATTTTAACATAATACGGAAACAAGTAACAAGGTTAATAAATAATAAGAAATTATGTGCGAAAATATTGGCAAAATCAAACACTGTTCGACAAAATCAAACATTTTTTCTAATATCCTATAGCCACTATGAAATTTTTGTAGAACTTCACTCCTCGAACAAGGATCCGAAAACCGAATTGTTCCATCACCCACGGTTTTAGAAAATAACGAGTTTTTATAAAAATCCAGAATTTTCGACAAAAATGAGGATGCATATTCTCATACAATGGTAAAAATTTGCAGCCAATTTGAATATGAATTGTTCATAAATTAATCTTTTTTTACATAATGTATTTATTAAGAAATAAGACAATACGCCACAAAACAATTTAATATAGAATATCATCTTTCACGTATTTAATTAGTATAAGCACGGACCGAACATAACGAGAGAAATCGGTCATAAAAGTGGCGAAGTCCAGGACCTTGACGGAAAGTCCTCATAGGCGACGACTTTCCCGAGTTCTTCTCCTTGAAATATTTCTCCCTTTTTTTTGAAGGACAGGGAATTTCCCTTCTCTTAGCAATTCGGAAAGCCGTCAATTAGGACAACTGTATATTAGGGTAGATGAAGATTTCACTTTAGTTCATGACTTTCCCGAGTTCTTCTCCTTGAAATATTTCTCCCTTTTTTTTGAAGGACAGGGAATTTCCCTTCTCTTAGCAATTCGGAAAGTCGTCAACTAAGGACAACTGTATATTAGGGTAGATGAAGATTTCACTTTAGTTCGTGACTTTCCCGAGTTCTTCTCCTTGAAATATTTTTCCCTTTTTTTTGAAGGACAGGGAATATCTCTTCTCTTAGCAATTCGGAAAGCCGTCAATTAGGACAACTGTATATTAGGGTAGATGAAGATTTCTCTTTAGTTCGTCACTTTCCCGAGTTCTTCTCCTTGAAATATTTTTCCCTTTTTTTGAAGGACAGGGAATATCCCTTCTCTTAGCAATTCGGAAAGCCGTCAATTAGGACAACTGTATATTAGGGTAGATGAAGATTTCTCTTTAGTTCGTCACTTTCCCGAGTTCTTCTCCTTGAAATATTTTTCACTTTTTTTTTGAAGGACAGGGGATTTCCCTTCTCTTAGCAATTCGGAAAGTCGTCAACTAGGACAACTGTATATTAGGGTAGATGAAAATTTCACTTTAGTTCGTGTTTTCGTGGATCCGTACCAATGTGGAGAGTCTCGAAGAAAATTCGATGAGTGAAAAATAAGATCCACCCTACTGTAAATATATTAAAGATTTGTTTTAGATGGTCGCAAAAAGTCGCATTTTCTTTTTACTTTGATGTTCATATTTACGTCGGTTTTTTTTACTGGAGAAGAACATTTGGTAGAACTCGAAGAACTTTTATTATAAATAAAAAGCTGAATAATTAGCGTTAAAATTTGTATTTTAGTTAACTTAATAGACTTCTAATAAAGTATTTACCTTATCGAATAATATCTATACGATAAAACTTAAAAAATCGAAGATTATACCCAGAAATAACAAAATTTCATAGCTTTATTGAATATCATATAAAAATTTGCATTAAATCTGATCATCGATATTCTACAATATTAGATTTTACGAGATTTTATTTTGAGTGTTATAGAAAGTATAGAAACCACATTGAATCGGTTATGGCAATACGGCAAGGAAGTGAAGAGGGGTAGGAAAAAGAGGAGAAAAAACGGAAAAAATATGTTACCGACACTCGAACCTGCAGAAATACTTACGGAGAAAACACTGAAAAGCGCCATTCATTCTAGCGGCAAAACGCTTAAACTTGTAGTCGATTATCGACGTATCAGGGTAACTTATCGACAAGTGCGGGCGCACCCGTAGCAAAACGCGACTTTGCGAATTCAGCATGTATCTGGTTGTACAGATTTCGTTACAGAAATGGTATTACCCACAGAAATGTAACTGTTTGATAAATACGTTTGATAAATTTTCTATTAGGAATGAAAAAGAAACTTAATTTAAATAGAAATATTCTCCGAATCGAGAAATACAGTGACATATTACTTTTGAACCATTGAAGGTATTGCAGTGAAAATTTTACTAAAAATATTTAAAAAACAATAATTCTCTTAGCTTCAGGTAATTAAATATTTTATGCATTGGTTCAACAATAATATTTAATTAATATTGATTGATATTTTTGATAAAAAAGTTGTTTAAATATAATTTTACGAACTATCATTTATTTTCTAAATGTGTATTTTATATGTATATAAAATATAAAAGCGAATAATCTTATCATCGAAAAGCTAAATACGCATCTCATACGCGAGCAAATAGATATTTTTATAATTGTTTGTAATACCTATACAGTAACGGATCCTACTCCTGCATAAAACTGCTTGGATTCCATGGCTTCGGCACCATCAATTTTTACCTTACTTTCTAAGACTTATATTAGCAAACAAGTACATAATTCTCATGAAGTCTGACATTCACGTACTGCATTGAACCTTCCTCTTTAGAATGATACTATTAGACAGCGAAAAAGATGCTGATTTAAGGTAGTTAAATGTCATCTCGTAACATTCCGTCTCATTTTGTCGGTAACTGTATCCTCTACCGTTAACTCCTCCCTAGGGTTATACATATATTCTACAGATATTATATATAGATTATATATAATATATTATATTCTACATACACATATCTTTAAGCTGCTTACCATGGAAAAAGAAAATACATATATGAAGGAGCCGGGAGCGGCCGAACAGGCTGATTACAGAGGCCCCTATCGGGAAATAGTGAAAACCGGAAAAATGCTTCTAGTGAATTGGCCTGTAGAAAAATGGTTGAAGATCAGATGTCGAGTTTAGTCTCGCGAGAAACATAAACACTGAGAATAAAGGAAAGACCAATGGAATAAATAAAAATTCAAACAGAAGGATACGATTTTCTTTCCCATTATTCTCTTCTATTAACATTCTCTATGCTTTTTTTAAAAATTTCTTCTGTTTTTTTTCCATAGCTTTACTTTATTTCTTTTCCACAGCGGTATCCTTCTAATCAGTGGTACTAACTTATTTTCCCACTTTTCCACTTTAACTGTCTTTTTTGTGCTCCCAGTTTTGGAAATAAAAAATATTTTTAGATTGTATTTTTTTGGTATCAATCAATTTCTGGATGGTCGATTTTAAAACATATCGATCTTCTTAGTCACAAATCGATCTTCGATTCAAAATCGCCATAATGTCATTAACTATTTTTGAATAGATCATACATTATCGGGCCATCTACAACATCTACTCTTAATAAATAATGATTAACGTATACTTCATATATTGTTAATTCTTCGTTTTTTTCAAGTCCTAAATAAATAAATAAATATGCCAATCTAATTTAAAAGTTCATATGCAGTATTTTACCATGAGATATTATTGGTATCTCGATAGTGTTATAAATGTTGTACATTTAATATTGCGTTACTTTTTTTTTTATTGAAGAACTTGATTTTGTAAATTGGTTTTAAAGTGCCGCAAGTTTAAAGCATTGCATTTTAGGTCCGATTTACAAAGTCGAGTTACGTATCTCTAAATAATAATATAAATAATAATCTAATAATAATCCGTACAATAAATACCGACCTGCTGAATCCGTAAAGTCACGTGACTACCCTAATCACTTATTTTACCTCCCTTGGTTTCTGCAAGTATCCCTATCATTTTATTTCGCATCCAATCCGCAATAAATCCTGTCTTAGCATTGAATTGCTAGCTAATCAGAGCAAAGCAATTTTTACTTCTATTCTCGCTAACGGAGCGCGCTGCGGATGGAGAATCCCGTCAAACTTGAGGTATTATTTTTAGTTATACGTGGAGTCATCTATAGGAGGAGTGAACATCAAAATTTGCGAAACTTTCGTCTCTAACATAGTGTGTATTCTGTGCTCGTAGGTATGGGAATGCTATTTTTTAGTGTCTCAAAGTCCCAAATGCGGTGATTGTACACCGTGGTCTCAAAGCAGAGAAAAGTGAGGTTATGTAAATAACTGTTTACATTTTTTACCAAGTTACTCCATGAATTTCTTCAAAGTAGTTTCACATTGAATGTAGCTTTTCTGCAACAAATAATAGTTGTCACATTTTGTGAAGTTTCAGGTATGTATATGTCATAAAATATATTATTAAATTTTACTAGATCTTTGCATTGCTCTGCGTGCCTTAACTTAAAATAGATTTTCAAAAAAGTTCTTATTTTTTTTTATTTACGTTAATACAATAGGATTGTAATATAATGCATAAGTTATGTAATATTGTGTAAAGCTTTCGTAAATATATATAAACGAAGTGCTATCATTGAAAGTATATTTTATTATGTACGTACTATATATCCTATCTATTTTCTATTTCATACATTATAGCATCATAGGCTACAATATGTTGGCGCACATATGTTAATATTTATAAATTTCAGAAATGCAATAATACAAAATATTTGTTATGTGTTGCATGATGTTTTATAATTAATTTTCAGATTTTTAGATGTCTGAATCTATGGATAGTTCTAACGTTTATGAAACTAGTAATACTTCCTTAAATAATTCAACAAGCGAACAAGTAGTTACGAAAGAGAAAAAGGCATCATGTATCATTGTTCTTGGGATGGCTGGATCTGGAAAAACTACATTTGTTAAACGACTTGTTTCGGTACTATACAATGTAGGAAAACCATATGTAATAAATTTAGATCCTGCATGTAAAGAGGTTCCATACCCTGCTAACATAGGTATTTAAGATATAAATGACTTTAATTTTATTTTATTTACATGTGTAAGCAGAATGATAAAGTATTGTATGGTATTTCAGATATAAGAGATACTGTTAATTACAAAGAAGTGATGAAACAATATAGTTTAGGACCAAATGGTGGTATTGTTACTGCTTTAAATTTATTTTCCACAAAATTTGATCAGGTCATAGACCTCATTGATAAAGCTAGTAAGGAACACGAGTATATAATTTTGGATACACCAGGACAGATAGAAGTATTCACATGGTCTGCAAGTGGTACAATCATAACAGAAGCTTTGGCATCTCAGTTTCCAACAATTGTGGTATATGTACTAGATACTGTGAGAAGCGTTAATCCTGTAACATTTATGTCCAATATGCTGTATGCATGTTCTATACTGTATAAAACTAAATTACCATTTATTGTTGCTATGAATAAGGTAAGCATAAAATACGAATTACTTAATATAGTAATATACTTATGTTTTACAATATGTCATTTATTTCAAGATTGATATTGTGGAACATAGTTATGCAGTAGACTGGATGCAAGACTTTGAAGCATTTCAAGATGCTTTGGATGCAGAAACAAGCTATATTAGTAATTTAACGCGTAGTATGGCACTGACACTCGACGAATTTTATTGTCATCTGCGTAGTTGCGGTGTTTCAGCTGCTACAGGGGCTGGCATTACAAAATTTTTAGAACTTGTTAAAGATGCTGTAGAGGAGTATGAACGGTAAATTTCTATAATATTATACAAGTACGCACATTAAAGAACATAAGATGTAAAATAATAATACTTTTCAAGGGATTACAAAGTGAACTGGGAACAAGTGAAAATTAAAAGGGACGCTCAGAGGTCTGAGGCAGAAAAAGAAAAATTGCAGCAAGCAGCGCAAAATGTTGCAGGGGAAACTATACCGTTTGTATCAACAATCAATAGCGGAAGAGAAATTTCAGATATATATCTAAAGCATGCTGGAAATGAATCAAGCGAGGACGAGGAAGGAACAGAAAATCCGTATAATAATGAAGAAGAAGATGAAAACAAAGAAACAGAGTCGTTTAAAAACTTTCTAGATAGGCACAAAATAGAACAAAATAAACGTACATCTAATCAACCAACTACGAGCCATGAGCCATGATGTATAATGTAAAAACGTAATTTTTATATTTACAAATAAATTTTTGTACCAACATATAATTAGTTGTTTCTATAAATTATAGTTAACTTATATATAGTTAGTTTCTATAAATAATAAAGTACTGTTCTGCGGATTATTTAACATTATTAATGTAAATACTGAAAATGTAAATTCTTATTTAAAATATATTTAAACTATTCTTTACAATTATTCTTCTTGATGGGATTTATTTACTTCGTATACACACCAGGTGTAAGTTGAATGACCGTTTGTGTTGCTCCGTTTTGCGACGATTGGTACTGGATTTCTTGGAATCCATTCTATCTCCACCTCGTTATTTTGAGTAGAACATAAATTAAAGTGACAAACTGAAATTGTTATATTTTGTATTAATTTTCTGATATATAATAATAATAATAATAATAATTAATTTGTTATCCAAGTACGTATTAAAGATTCAGTATTATTGATTGCTTAAGATCAATTTCTTATATTTCTTATTTCACAGTATAATGTTTAAATTTTGTGTATATCAATATAATATGACATAAGGTAATATTTTTATAGAAATAAAAAAAGTAATACATAAATAAAATAAATTAAGTAAGAAACATATCTAAGAAGACTATCTAGTCTTCACACAGATGAAAATTTCGTCTAGGGTTACGAATGAGGAAAAAAGTTTATGATGGTCAGTCACATATTTCCCGATAAGTTTTATGCTCTGAAGATAATGAAGACAAGGGTATAACGTTTCTCACGCTGACAGAGCAAAGTGTTTAAAAACGACAAACGTTTCGTTGTGTGTGTTCTTTTAACTAATTATTATTATTCATATTGTGTATTAAATTATAATACCTTTTTCGGGGGAATTTGTTGGACTGTTTCTAGAATCACTATTTCTTATTGAATGATAGTGTATCCGTTGATATTCTCGCGTTATTTGTTCCAGAGTTTTTGTTAACGCCATCTGACCAATGTACAAAAAAATTATAAGATTACAAGTTTCGTAAAAAGTTGCATTACTATATAATTATATTACAGTATATTGTTTATTCTATAATTATTTATTTTCTATTTTGAGTATTCGTAAAAACAATTGGATAATCGTCGAGAAAAGCATTTGTTCATTAAGATGCAGTAATAGTTTTTAATTTGTTGCGTTACCGTGGTAAATTATATAGATATATGTATAAATTTAAGTAATCTACACAGATTTATATATATTTCAATATAATTCAATTTATTTTTGAACAAAAAATATGTTCAATCGGTCTACAGTATTGCATTCTATGGTCAACAAAGTGGGATCACTTAATGCTTGTCTCGTTCGCAATAAAATTCAGAAGCTTGATCGAACATAATGTCAAAGCTAATCATTATTTAAGTGAATTTTCAGTAGCAGAAGTAATAACTGAATTATTAATTTTTCATTCCAGCAATTCTTATGAGACAAACAGTAAAATAAATAAAAACTGGAAAAGAAAGCATGGACTTTTACGTGATTACTGAAAAAGATAATAAAACAAAAATTGTACAAATAATATGAATTTCTTGGAACAAATTAACGATGCGTTTATCAATAGTTCATCATTATGTTTATCCGTTCATAACAAAATGAGCTGGTGCAGTATAAAATCCAAAAAGCGTCAAAAGAATTCGGGACCATCAATTTATTGTTTTCAACCATTTAAAGAAAAGAAAATTCTGTTTGTTTCCGCGTATATCACAAAAATCCGCACACTCGAACTACCTGAGAAATTTCAACAGATCATTGGGATCACTTCTAGGACATAATTGTTCATTTTATTATTTACATAAAATAGATATATTAAAATAGGATAGGAAAGGAAGTCCGTACGCTGTGTAGTCCAACTTCGTAAAGAATAATTGAAGGTGAATTACCCGGCACGCATGCAAACGGGACTCATCAAAGTTTTTGCTGGATAGTTCCGGTTCCGGACTGTTCTTTAAACGAATTCGTTGCCGATGATTTAGTCTCCCAGGTGTCTTACGGTACACTCTGGGCAGCAGATCCGGTCGACCACCACGGAAATTCTCGTGCAAAAATTCGTGAACATCGGGATTGTACGCGTTGCAGATCGGGTCCCGATTGTGAGAGGTCACCTTCCGGAAGCCGTACAGGTTCAACTGGCGAATGAAGCTGGTGATGTTCTTCGTTTTGAAGATAGAGTTGCACGCGTCAAGGTACTGCTCCTGGAATTTCTTGTAATCGAGGAGGATGGTGTTGCCGCCGAGGCTCCAACGGATCGCGCCCGTCTCGCAGTCGTTAATTATTCGCCATAGCTTTTGCGGAAACCGCAAGGACAGGAACATCCAGTCGTACATATTCTTGTGTTCGGAGAACGAGTGCTCGAAATCGTGCTCGATGGAACGCTGAACGAAACTGTGAAACACTACGATTCCCTTTGTTTTTCTCGAATCCAATCGCATATCATTTGCAAACAAAAAACTATCGTATCACGGCAACAATATTCTTTGTTCTGGAACCGCCGCTCAGGTGCGCGGAATCCACACTTTGAACCTTCTTCGCGCGTTAATTTGCACCGCGATGGAGCGTGCAACATTCCAATGTCTTCCGATTGAGTTTTATTTGTTTTCTAATCCTTGGAAGACACACACCTTCGACGATATTGTGTCTATCGGCGGTTGAATTTGTTCGTATTATTATGCAGTTTTTCTTACCCCCTTTTTTTTAAATGCACTTCTTGGAGATCTATGTTGATCTTTTTATTGGACCTGCTGCTATAGTACGTTGAACTCGGTTACAGAAAATTAGAATTTAAGTGAAACTTCATAGCTGTGAGGTAAAATGGATTCTCCTATTTGGGCTTAACGTCCATTAGCTTACGATGACAAAATTCACATAAAAAGTTGTTCTATTTCTCTGTTCGATTCTTAACCTTCCTCGTATTTATATTTGTGAGTAAACATTCTAATAGTTCTGGATGAGCTGGTGTACTATCCTATTTTACCAACGGACACTATTCGATGATAATGTCTAAACTATGAATATTTATATATTTTTGCGATATGTGAAATACAAGAAAGCATTTATATTTTTCTGTGTTAGTTTTGCCGCAATGAATCTCCTAATCAGTGAAAAGAAATTTTCCCTGAATTGAATATTTAAAAATTGAGTTGTAGGGTAGAAAACTGCATGAAGAACCGTAGTCTGATGATAATAAATTATAGGATGTAATATTTCTTTACACAGAACAATATTATTCTAATTTGTTCTGTTCACAGGATGTTGTTTCGGGGATTATGAATTAACAGAAAACGTTTAAAAGAAACGTGACATTTTTAACGATACATGTATGCGCTTCACAGTATACAATTACAACACATGATTTAATACAATGGGCTATATATAAAGTTCGAAATCTGTGGAGTATATTCAAAAATATTTCGTATTTCGTGTATGTATATACAAATTGCTATTCGAGAATAATTATTATTTAATTAATAATAAATTATTCAATATATATGTTACACATTCTTAACAAACGTAAAGTATTAATACTATTTCCTGGACAATGAAAGTTCGTCGCGTTGAACTTTCACAATTTCCCTGATATCAGACGTGCTTTTATTAATATCTTATCGTTACAACGTAGTATTTTTGCATCCGTACTGATTAGGAGATACCATTATAAGTATATTATAATTTTTAAAATATCGATTTTGTTTGAGAATTGTTATCAACAAGAGTGGTATCGTATTATATCAATGAAAAAAATGGAGAAGCTTCATTTTTCATTTGTTGCTACAAATACGCGTATCCTGCAATAATAAAGCAGATATCAACGCTGTCGATCTGATGCGTTATTCTACACACAAATTGTCCGCATTTTGCGCTATTAAATATTCTGCGCTATTGAATATCTTGCGCTGTTAATACAAAAATTAAAAATTGAGAGATACATTTATAAAGACGTCAGTCTTATTGGAAGTCGCGAGACAGTTCATTGGGTTTCACCTTCTAAACAAAAGTCATACGTTCATCATGGCTATCCTACTTTTATGCGTGCTGATAGACTGATAAGTCAGAGATATGATAATAGTATTCGAAGCCTCACAAAACAGCATTCCGATTGTTTTCGGCACTTTCTTCTTAAGTGAAAGTTAAAAAATATCATACAATACAACATCAATTAATATCAATCAAAGTTCTACACTTTCATTCAGTGCACGTAAAATGTCAAGTTATTAACGTAAAATAACGAGTGTGTTGACTTTTCTCGATTGTCGAGAAGAAATGTCATCGCATACAAGAAAAAGTTACGAATACACTGCGGATTTCATGCATTTATACAAAAAATTAATGTGCCAAATATAAAACGAGCAGTTTCAGAAGAATTTGAATACGCTGTGTTGAGTTGACATATCGTGACATTCGAGTTGACGATTTTCGAGTTGACAAATCTCTAGATGAGAAATAAGACGTTCAACTCTTGTTTGTTGCAATCAGTTTGTTGCTCGTTTTGCATGACGAACCGCAGTGAAAATTGTGAGCTTCGAATGTTGGTGACTTTGACTCAAAGGTAGCAATGAATAAATACACTAATCGGACAGAATCGGCAAGGCTTGTAAATATTCGTGTGGTTTAGCCGGAGCTGGCAACAAGTAGCCATCGGGATCCAAGACGTCTGGTGTTCGAATCGTCACGGGTCCTTGCGGTGGCCTTGGCAAGCTGCCTTGTTGAATCGATTTACCTTGAGCTTCTTCTAGCCTCTCTAATATCTCCGCGAATTTGGTTCTGTCTTTTGGATCTGTTTTCCAACAGTCCCGCATTAACTGACAGATGAACGGTGGACAACCCTCTGGCGGAATGAGCATTATACCCTGGAATATTAGCTTCACTACCTGAAACATCGTTTATAGGTAGCGTTAAATACAGCACAGTAGAACCCCCTATATCGCGGACTAAAAAGTCATTGTGTACACAGAAATAATAACATTTGACGTTCCTGTTGTTTTCAACTGAAATCAAATGCATATTATTTTGCCATATTGAAAAAAAAGTCTATATATTCAGTTATAGTTGTTAGCGCCCTTGGATTTGTATAACGCGAAACTTGGATTTCTTAGAAAATAAAATTAAGCTATTTAAATCTCTCTTATCTTGCGTTGGTAATTAATCGAGAGACAGTGAAGTTTTTGATAATCAATGCTTAAAAGAAAATTTAAGATATTTATAAATACATGTTTATTTCTTTCGTCGATTTACTGTACTATATTTTAATAATGTATCTATTAATTCCGATCGTTGTAGAAAAATATGCGTACATTAAATTTATTTAGCAATATATTACCCAACAATATATGTATAACTTACTTCTTCATTGTTATGTCCGTAATAAGGCTGTTTACCGAAAGAATAAACTTCCCATAGAACTACCCCGAAGCTCCATACGTCACTTTCCAAAGTGAATCGTCCGTACATCACACTTTCTGGCGACATCCAACGGACTGGTAAGAGCCGAGATCCTCCTATCTGTAAAAAAACAATTGAAAAATTTACTGATTATACAATCTTCCACGTTACACACAAACAATTTATGTTATAATCACAAGAATATCATACTTCCTTCTGAAAACGCTGTCTTACGTTTCGTTTCAAGTAACTAAGTTTTAGCCCTTTAAAATCGATTACGAAAAGATATATAATTTCTAAAGATATCTTGACACGAGATATTTGAAATGACGGTGACTTTTATCCATTAACAAATTATACAATTTACATATAAGATATATGTTATACATGTGTTATTATATTATATATGACACATGAGTATTTGGCTTGGAAAGATAGTTCTTCGAAATAATATTTGTGGCCCAAAATGTGTTAACGCATCGTTCAATATACCTTGTAATAATCGCACGTGTATACATCTCTTGACATGCCAAAGTCTGCAATTTTAACAATCATGTCCGCACCGACGAGACAATTTCTGCAAGCCAGATCTCGATGGACGAACCTTTGACCCGATAGATATGTCATACCGGCTGCGATTTGAATTGTGATCCAATGTAGGGACTCCTGAAATATGCGAATACAATTTTTAATGTCGAAAAATCGCGGACATCCATCACATCATCTCATTCAATCCTTCGTATTATACACACATTAGAAATGAAATATAAATATCTCATTCTTTGTTTAAAACAAGTTCATTAATTAATAAACATTTGAGTTGTTTCCACTTCAATTTCATCATAAGGGCGATATTCGTTGGCGAAATTTATTTTGGTTTTCACGAAACAATTTATAACAATGAAGAACATACAGGTGCAATTTAGTTGTTCGATAGAATTTGTGCAACAACTAGATTGCGGATTAAGAATTAAATATTTCTGATCCATATTGTAAAATATATATTTGAAATACTTATTATATATTTGTAAAATCAATTAAGCATTTCTCCTAGTATTTCATTTAATACAGAAATAAATTACTGTTTCAAATAAAACATATGTGACTTGCAAATTGTGTTTGCAAGTATTTACATTTATATATCTCAATAGAAATATTTTTATCTCCGGGTGTCTCCGTAAATTATAAGTTTTAGGCGAAAACAACAAATGCGAAGCAGTAAATTTCTCTATATCTACAATGTGTAATTAAAATCGCTAAATATCAATTGAACATTTTGATTCGAAAACATATTGTTCGTTGAATTTTCTATGAACATCTAATCACGATTTTCGAAAAATGTATTGAAGTGATATATGTAAGGAAGCATTTACTGTTTTTGAAAGTGTGTCAGCAGTGCTCAAGCATGCAGAGATAGGCAAGATCAAAGGCAAACAAGATTTAAAGGAAATTTACCTGGGTCAAAGGTTGCAATCCGGGTTTCGACGATCTGAACGAATTGGAATTCGATCGCAATACTTCGGCGAGATCACCATAAGGCATATATTCAAACACCATCCATGGACTATTGTTAGAGTCGCGAAGCACCACTCCTTGCAGAGACAAAATATTTCGGTGTCTAAATGTAGACATGATATCGACTTCTCGCATAAAGTCGTCCTCGACTTCGCGGGATGCAAAGTCCTTCAAAACCTTTATCGCGACTATTTCTTTTATCTCTCCGGTACATAATTCTCCTGTAAAGTCAAACATTTGTGTTTTTCTGTGCTTAAGAATTAAGCAAAAGTGCTGATAATTATAATTACGGAATAAATGAAGCAGTCGATTTGGTAAATTGAAATAAGAGACATACGTTTTAACAGTAATATTAATTGCTGTGGCAATAATTTAATAATGACTGTTTCAATATTTAAAGTTACGTTTTGTTTAGTTATTTAATTTCTCTTAAATTGTTGTACTTATCAAATTAGTTAGTTCGATTGTATCGGCAAGAATATTGTGAATACTTAGAAGAACTGGAATGTAATTTTTACCTTTATACACCTTTCCAAAGCATCCTTCGCCAATGTCTTGTATAAACATGAGAGATTCGCGTTGCAGAATTGGCACCTCCGGCGATGCGCAATTGAAATACTGTGGATTAGGCGTGTACTTATTTGCTAACAGCAACCCCTTCTTCAAATTCATCGGCGTCCCCTGAAGAGAATACCATATATAATTAATTTTATAAAACGGCAAAATATCAACTAGACTACAAAAACTGTGATTTTGTGAAGCATCGTTAAATGGCTATCTCTAATATTCTTTGAAATGTAAGCGTAATTAAGTCTACGCTTTCTAATAATTAGGAGAACTCAAAAATGCATTTTAACGCTATCAAAAATATTTCTTGGTGTACTTTATTTTTGTAGTCTCCTTAATTTTAAACAGTTTTGTTTTTTAATAGCAGTAACAACTGAATAATATGATTAATAAAAATTATGTACTCACGTCTAGGGAGTTCCTTTGTGATTTCAAGTTATAGCTCCGCTTTCTAATACAATACACTATACCGAAAAAAATTACTAATACCGCGATGAAAGATATTGCAATTCCTATTATTTCAGGTACCCTTTGTTTCGAACGCTCTACCTGTTGAAACAGAACGGAAATATGCTACATTTATATCACATTTTACGAATGTAATTTGGTGTTTCTTTCTAGTTTAGATAAAAGTGTAACTAAATAACAAAATCAATTGAAAGCAAATCATCGAATAATGTAAATTTTATTTTAATTGAAGATTGAAAAGTACATTCTCTAAAAATAAGTAGTTTAATAATCTACGTTTGTTAAGCAATTTTTAACTTTCTGAAATACAGTGTTACTATAATTTTGATTTATAGTTTAGGAACACATATTATTTATAAAAATATACTAATTGATAAAAATAACTACAATTTTTTTAACAGACCTACTTATAAATTTTATATTTTTATATAATCTTATTTTATAATATCAATAATAAATTTGATATTTGGTGATTGGAGTATCGTTTCGATACACATACCTGTCCAGCCTCTGGAAAAGCCGTCGTACCATTGGTAGAGTTGTCACTTGGAGGTATTATGTCGGGTATAGGATGTGGAACGAAGTCAACTGAAAGTTGAATTAAAAATCAATCATTCGACATTGATCAATACTATTTATAACCAAAATATAAATTTATATTCATTCATTTTTAAATCTTTCGCTCGAACAGTATGGTATTAATCCTTATCGGACGTCAGATATTCAGACCTAATGTATAATGTCACGCGGGACGCGACATACGTCCGATAAGGGTTAACCCTTTGAGATCGACATTAGGATTGTACTACTTATTTCAGAAATCACATGTATATAATTTAATGATGTACATAACAATAGATCAAGATATATTATTCATTGTTACCATTGCTCAAGTCTTCCATAAATAATCTAGTTGTCTGAGATAAATATTTTTGGCACTATACAGACTCCTCGTCCGCGAAGCTTCAAAAATATATTACAAATAATTAATATTATTCAAACTTGCCACAATTTTTACACAATTTGAATGAACAATACTTCTCAATGTTATTCAGTCGCATGCAGTAATTGCTTAAATTTCGGAAACGTTAAGGGAACATAGTTTTCTTCGCAAGAAATCTATTTTATACTATTTCTCTTGTGGAGAAAATTTCGTGCATCAATATAGAAATTATTGTGAATCCGACCTGTTACACGCTTGCATTTCAAGTCATTTGTCGGCAGGGATGAATCGTGCGGACAAACACACTTGGACGTGTTGTTCTCGAATTCACGGCAAGCTGCTTCCCGTCCGCAGATGTAGGGCTTATCTATGCATCCTGTGATTTCGGAGATCCAGTTTGACTGTAGCCTCCTCATTACTTCCGATTGCTGAGCGGTTACATTCTTAGATAATTCTGAAACAATATTTACGCGTTATCGGAAGTGTATCTTGCCTGCAACTAGCTATACGTGATATTATCTCGAAGCCGATTTATAAATACGAATGGTATCGCGAAGATCAAACTGCATTGTCAAATGTACTTTTTGATAAATCTTAACAACTCGACACATTATTTGCTTCATTTAAACTCTATTCATCTTCCTTGATACATTATCTACCTATCTATCTATGTATTTCATAATTTTTTAGAGCTTACGATTTATAGCCGAGAATTGTACAATAGCAATAGCAATTTCGATCGTATACCAACAAGTAATTCCTATTAACATAATATAATAATATCGCTTGAGATTATTATGTAGGCGAAGCACAATAATTGAAAAACTTATTCGTAAGATTCCAGTAAATAAAGTGTTGAAATAATTTTTTCATTGTCCAATAGTGCTAAGTTGGCAT